AAAGTGGAATTTAAATTTTTTTACATTGTTTTTTTTTTTTTTTTTTTGTTCCTTTTTTGTACCAGGTCACTCCGTTATTCCAGAAACTGGAGACAGACCAGATTGAGGCTTTGAAGAAGAGATTTGGTGGACAGCAGGTATTTATTTGATGTTTATGATGTCTAATGACCCGTGCATTAGTTCAGTTCGGTCTTGCATTAATATAGTTTAAATATTTATGAATAATGAAATAAGAAAAGATTGATGCTGTGCAACTGTTCACAGGTCTGTCAGACTGTCGCCATGAACAGGAATTAGGACTTAATTTAAGTGTCTTTTGAAACATGGTACAGAGAGCAAACAGACTATAAATGTTAAAAATATGTATGAAGAATTTATCACGTAGATCAGAATAATCCTTTTCTAAACCTTCTCCTCAACCACCTGCCTCTAGTATGAAGATGAACCACCTAAAGAAAAGGTATCGAGCGGTACTTGTTTGTGTGCGAGTCTGCACTGGTGCTGCTGTAACATTGTTGATTACTGCATGCCTTCACTAACACTAGCAGCTTATTTAGTGACTTATTTTGAATTTTTACTCATCTCCAGTGTGACCAGTGTGATTCATTGCCCGTTCACACATCATGACTCATAAAATCGCTTTGACATTTTGAGTGAAGTGTATTATTGTCTGAAATGAAGTAAGTAATCTTAAGAAATAATAACCATCAGAACGCCTCAGTTTCAAACATTTTCATGTGTCTGTTTCCACCCTCAGAAGACAGCTCAAAATGCTGCCACTGTGCCAGCTCCCGCTGCTCCTGCTGCTGAGGTGGCGATGGTGAACGGAGTGGACCCAGAAAAAGCCAAGCGGCTCACACAGGCTGTGGCTGAACAGGTGAGATTGCTGGCTAACACCACACTGTTCATTTATCAGCTGCAAATGCAACTCTTACATTTCAAGGCATTTTGGAATAAACGATCTGTTATTAGAACAGAACTATATTTTGCATGTTCAGTTAGAATATTTTAATTGCATTTCTTTTTATTAAAATTGTCATAATAGTATAACAAAGCGGATTGTCCTCCGTGATGAACAAAAACAATCTCTCAAAAATTCAAAATCCCACGCAAACTGGTCACAGAATTAATAACTGGTTTTATAAGCCGCGTGTAATTGTGATTTTTGTGATAAATTTAGTAATTGTTCTGTCTAAAAATTTGTAATCACTGAATTTTATGTTATACATTCTCTTATAAACACGGTTATTAAATATTTTAAAATCACATTGGATTCTCAGTATTTCTATCCGACAGGTGTGTGTATAATTACAAACTCAGAATTCTGCTTTAATTGATTCATTGTTCACCATTTTTTTCATCCATATAAGCTTTAGTATTTAGTCAAATCAAATTTAGGTGTGCAAAATGAATTAAACTGTCATTTTATCTGTCACAGGGGGACAAAGTGCGAGCACTGAAAGCCCAGAAGGCAGAGAAGGCGGTGGTCACAGCAGAGGTGGCCAAACTGTTGGACCTTAAGAAACAGCTGGCTCTGGCTGAGGGGAAGAGCCCTGAGCCTGCACCTCAGAAGGGAAAGAAGAAGTGAGAAGAAAACAAAAGGGAAATCAAAAATGATGGAAGTTAGTCAGAGGAAGGAATAATCAGAATGGTTTGAGGTAAGATAGTGGAGAATGGGAACAAGATATACACAGAGAGATGAGAGTATTAGCTTAAGGCAAATCCGTGACAGGATCTAAGACAATGTGGTATTGGCACTGAGGACTAATGAAATGTTGGATAGGCCGACGGGGAAATGAAAACACAAAGAGAGAGTCAAATGAATACAGCTACAGAATGGAGGGATTTCCCCCCAAATCCCTACACCAAAAGAAACTGATTTTATACTCCCAGTGAAAAAGTCGGCATACATTGCCAGCATTAGAAGATATGTTGTGCATTTAAAGATGTTTTTAAATATATATGTCTGGAAAATGTTTTTTTGCATTTGCTATAAATACCCTTTCTGGATCCAAAAGATTAATTGGTTGAGATAGAAATTGTCTGTGCTCTGCACTTTTCTAAAATACCTCTGATTTATACTATTTAATACAAAATTGTCATTGAAAAGGCAAACAAATAAACATTACATGACACAAATGCACTTTTTTTTTTTCTTTTATTGCAAATTTGGGATTACAGTGAATGATTAAAATAAATGGTATGGTAAAATACATGTATTTGATGCCATTAATGATAAAAGCCATGCATATTATTCTACAATTAAAAATTTGTAACTATAATGACAAAATAAACGGAATATGTTGGAATATTACAGTATAAGCCAATACAGTACAATTGTATATTACAGCATTATATAAAAATAGTAAAGCAGGATAGAACAACAAATTCCCATATTGATAGAAAAGATCAGCTTAGAAAGTATAGCTGGGTCCTACTTGCTTTATCTGAAACACATACACTCAAGCAATGCGTTATAAAATAGTAAGAAAGGGTATGAATTCTCTCTCATACTCACACTGCACTGGGCACTTTCAGACTTTTCCTGAGCTCCTAAACTCTCCACAAATTTGGGCAAATAATCTCTACTAGCCAGATTGTAGCCCTTAAAGTAGGAGTTACAGTTTATTGCAAAATGGTGGAAAGAGATGATGATGATGATGACGAATTGCACTCTCTGAATTAAGTTCTTTTCTATCCTATATGCAAATCACAAAATGCTCATAACTGTTGTTTCTACCATCCTACGTGATGAACCCTAGTGGCAGGCATTCTTTAAAATGACAAACATTCATCTTAAACCACTGCATGATCTGCACTTAGAGCTGTTTGTTCTTCCCTTTCTTTTGTACATACCGTGTCTTTTTATTTGCTGCACTGCTGCTGCAGCCCCTTTTCTCTACATTTTCTTGACTTTCATCACTTTTCTTCTTTCCATCTTTAGCTCTGTCTTTTCCAAAAATCCTCTCTTATAAAATATCTTTGGTTTCCATCCTTTCTAGTTTAAGAGGCATTTCATGACCACCATATTACACCTTTCCTCACCACTGCTTATTCCAATTCTGTAGGACCTGTCATCTTTTATCCATCTTTATCCTCATTTCCTGGTGTTAACTAGCCTCTCTATCAGGGCTCTGCGTGTCCTCTGTACCTCCTCTCCCAGCCTTTCAATCTCCGCTTTCAAACGCTCGTTTTGCTCTGTCAGCTCCTGTACCTTCCTCTCGTTCTCTTGCTCTCTTTCTTTCCGACTCTTTTTGGCAGATGAGTAGGATGAGGATGTGTGCTGTGTGGAGGAGGTGAAAGAGGACAAGGCACCATTGGCCCGTTCGCTGGTGGTCCTCTTACGTTTTCCCAAACGGGAGGATGAGTAGGCAGAAGGGGAAGAGACCGGTGAGGAGGGAGAAGAGCAATTTTGAGATGGTGACTGGGAGGCTGAGGAGGAGCATGATGGAGAATCTGGGACACAAGGTAGTTCTTCCTCGCTGGCTGAGGGAGACGCAGGATGGACATTAACCTGGTGGTGTTGATGATGGTGGTGATAATAATAGCCACTGCTTATCACCGCGCCACTCGCATCCACCATTCCCACTCCTCCTTCACTCAGCAACTCAAAGAACTCTGGAGGTAGCAGGTCACTGCCACCTCCTGCAGAGCCATCTCCACTTCTTCCACTCTCAGCCTCCACCTTCCGCTCTTCTGCAATAGATGGACTCATGCAGGAGGAGGAAGAAGAGGATGACGATGAGGTGTGATGCAGAGCCTGGGTGTTGTGGATCTCCTCTGCTGCCCTCTGGACACTTTCGCCCCATGTCTGACTTCCGTCCGTCAGCCATGTCAGGGAGCAACTCTCCAGAACATCCAGAAACTCCGGCTCCTTCTATAAGTCAAAACATGTCATGGCTGTCAAAATATTATAGGAGATAATGTTACATCATGTAGTATGCGGCATTAGTTTTTATTTCAAAAATCGATAACCTCAAAAGAAGAACTACTAATAAATTTTTTAAAAAGCATGTTAGACAAAAACACTCACACTCATCACAGGTGTGATAGCCATTTTGTTCTCCAAACTACTGACCTCTGTGCATGTGGGGGCACGTGCCAGTTTTGCCCCTCCCGTGTCAGAGCCTAGAATATCCTGCAAGTCCTCATACCACGCCTCCAACTCTGCACCACACAACGGCCCCACGCCAGGGGGGTATGGCGGGGGCAGGTGTAG